CCCTGATTCTATTATATTCACCAGTTTATTCTGTTCATCAGATTTTTTATTCACTTAGAAGGAAGCCATTCCATCATTTTGCTCCTCAGTTTTCTCATCTGAAACATGATCATACAGCTCCTTCCAGGGGGTTCTATGAGGTTTAAACAGAATAACATATACAAAGCATGCAGAACTGAGCATTCTGGATAGTCAATAACTTGTAGTTCGTTGAAATCGGTACTGTTTCCTCCACCTCATACGAAAGAAAATCAAGTCTCTGAGTTTACAATTCAGAGGGGTTAGGTCACTTGCTCAGCTAACCCGTGGTAGAACTGATATTCAAATCCAGGACGACTTGACTACATTGCCCAAGTGTCACACTGTGTATGTTTTTCCAAACTCACAATTGGACTAGCTGCAAGGCAACAGAAAACCATGTTCCTCTTTGGCTTCTTATGCAACAAACCATATGGACCCTCGTGCTCTTATATAACAGGCCCAATGCTAACGAGAGGCAGTTTAACAACAACACAAAAAACAGATCGCATTCACAACAGACCACCATATGTTCTGCCGTTCCCACAGCAGCCGCCCCAACTCCTACTCAGGAGCCCACAGAAATCTTCTCGCTGAAAACAGCTTTATTCTCAAGTGACTCAAATGATTGATGCCTTTATAAAAAGAAGTGGAGAAAGAGTCTGCACTTCTTCCAAAGAAATAAGTCTTGTTAACTCCTTGGGAAAGCCCGGACCCCTGCAGCCTCCACTCCATGGGCTTCCCCAGGGATGGTGTGGTCTCTGAGTTAGCAGCTCCCTCATTCAGAGTGAGGGCAGCTAGGATGATTTCTGGTTTCTGAGTTTCCAAGCTAAATAGCCAGGGGGCTTTGGATCATCCCTTCATTTGGCCTTAAACCCCGTCCCGACCTTGTGCTCAGGCTCAGTTTAAGAATCTCGAGTTCACTGTAGGCTTTCTGGAAGTGCCCTCTGGTGCTGAACCTAGTTCGAAAAGGGTGATTTGACCCACAGACACTGGGGAGAGGGTTGCTGCAGAGGGCTACAGGCCTGGCACCATCTTTCTACTCTACACCTTTGGCCTGGTCTCCTGCCTCCTTCACTTCCTCCCATTCATTTCCCTGTTCAGCTGTCAAAGCCATCCTGCTAATACCTAAATCTGATTGCATCCTTCCAAATTCCTCAGAGCCCTGGTGATCCTGCTTGCTCTACCTCCTCAACCCACTTTGCACACTCTTCCCCTTGACCTCAGAGCTCCAGCCATTTTGGCATTCTTTCCATTCCTGGCAGCTTTGCACATGCTCTGCACCCTGCTTGGCCCACTCAGACCCCTTCCACTCATTCCTCACCTTCTGAATCTCAGCCACAGTGGCTATCGGCCCCTTCAGATGTGGCATTGAGACTGAGGAGTTAAAATATTAATTTTATTAGTTGTAATGAATGTCAATTAAATTTACATTAATTCTCAGATTGCAAAGGAATTTTCTTTCCCGTATTTTCTTCCTATAGTTATGAATTCATTTTGTACATTGGAATACATTTGGTACTTATTTTAATATTTAAAATTTGCATAACCAGATGTCTACCTATGGTGTTTTGTGTTTTCCAAAGATTGTCATACCAATATATATCCCATCCCACATTTTCTTCTGACAATGTGACATGGACACTCCTTCAGAGAGAGGTGAAACTGGTAGACCTGTGTAACTGCCTTGACCAAGAGAATATTGTGGTAGTGGCAGCCTGTGCCTTCTGAGGCTGATCACTAAGGGTATTGCCTCTTCCACCTTGGCCTCTCGGCTTGCTCACTCTAAGGAAAATGAGCCCCCATGATCCTTTATGTGGAAGGAGCTAAAAGACCTCAGCAAACAGGTTCATTACCAACAGCCCAGTCATGTCATAGAGCCACCGTGAAATGATTCTCCAGTCCCAATCAGGCCTTCACATAACTACTGCCTCCACTAACATCTGATCGCAATTTTATGGGGATCCCCCCCCCGCCCCCGCACTTCCACCAAATAGAGACCTGCCCAGCCAAGGCTTTCCAGAAATCCCGACACTCGGAATTTGTGAGCACTATAAATGTAGTTTGAAGCCATTAATTTTGGGGGGTTTGTTATGCAGTAATAATAATTAGAACACTACTCATTTTCCCCCAACACCATTTAATGATTAGTTAATCTTTCTCCCAGAGATATGAGATGTCATTTTCATCATAAATTTAATCATCATAGAGTATGAGCCAATTGTTGGACTCCTTCTGTTCTATTAGACTATACCAACTCAAGCACTAATATCAAGTTGTTTACATCTTTGATGCTTTGTTATATGTTACTATCTGGTAGAGGTTGCCACCCTCCAATAGACTTGTCTAGACTTTTTATTGAGCTTATAAAAATTGATATATTTATGAGATTGCAGCTTCTTACACAAAAATGCAATATACTTTCTTATTTAAGTTTGCTTTGTGATATTCAGGAGTGTTTTTAAGTTTACTTCATATTTATTTATTTAGTTAGTTAGTTTTCTTCATATTTAGCTGATTGTTTTTTAGAGTCTACACTTAGGTATTTAATAATTTGATTAATGTTGTGAATGGATTTTTTTTCCTGTTATCCTGGCCATTCTAGCTATTTGTGATTTATATATGTAATAACTATTGATTTCTATATATTATTTTTGTATGCCACTTCCTTACTGAATAATCTATTTATTTGTGGTGGCCTTTAGCTGATTCTGTTCGTTTTACCACGTATACGACCATATTATCTGCCAACTGCGATTGTTTTATTTTCTCCTTTCTAATATTTATATCTCACATTATTTATTATTCTTTTTGCACTAACACATCTAGTATAGTGTAGCTGTTGTGAGTGAGCACTTTTTAGTGAGACTACCTCTAATACAAAGTCTAGCCACATGAGGCTCTTGGACTGCTGCAATGTGGCTATGAAGACTGAGGAATTTTATTAGTTTTAATTAATTTAAATGTAAATAGCTACTTTGTGGATAGTGATGATCATATTGGTCAACACAGGACTAGAATTTATTCATCTACCATACTGTTAGCTTTTGGATTGAGACAGGTATTTAACACATGTGGAATATTCAAATATCCTTATTTCATTGGCTTTCTAAAAATAAAAAGTAACTGTTGGAATTTGTAAAATGCTTCTTCAGTATCTATGGTGATGATTATGTGGGTTTTCTTCTTATATATACTAATACAGTAAATTATATTGAATCATCCTTGAATTGGATTAAACCCAAACTTGATCATGATGTGTTGTTATTCTGCTAACGTGTTTCTCCATTCTGTTTGTTAATATTTTATTTAGGATTTTTGAATCAGTACTAACCATCTTTTGTGCAATCTTTGTTAGATTTTATATCAGTGAATTCTCACTTCTTAAAAAAGAAAAAAACTTGATGGTTTTTTAAAAATTTATTCTAGACCTGACAGGTTAAGTGGTATTTAAAGGGTTTGTAGAATTTCCTAGTGCAAGGAAGCCTAAGAAAAATGGGGGAAGGGAGTACATCATTGACTACTTTCTCTATTTCTCCTATACAAATCAATCTCTTTAGCTTCCTATATCTTTTAGGCTCTTCTTTGGTAAGTTGCATTTTCCCATAAGTTATCTATTTCATCAAGATTTTCAGAGAATTTCTTTGCGAAGAAGTGCTTCATTTATTTATTTTAATTTAATGCTTCTTGAATCTACCTTCATGTTTCTAACTTTTAGGAATTGCCTTTTCTAGACAACCTCCCCCTTTTACAATGATCTGGTGATCCAGTGGTTCACCTATTGTATTAATAAGAACAAGCCTTTCAACAATTTTTATTTATTTGTCCTGATTTTCCTATATTCTAAGTTATTTTTTCACTTTTTCTTTATTAATTTATTCTTTCTGCTTGCCAACAATGTAGTTGGCTACTCTTTTTCAAATTTTAGACATATGTTTGCTCCATTGGCTCCTTGACTTTCTACTTGATGTAAATATTAAGTATAGATTTTTCTCTGAAGCTGCCTTTTCAAGATCTCATGGCTTTAATACATAATATTTTTACTGATGCTATTTTAAAAATTCTGTCTAAATAAAAAGTTATTAGCTGAAGTACATAAATCTCTGTTATTTTTAATATTATTATAAATTTCTAGTTTTATGGCTTTGTAAGAAGAAGATATTACCATAAATATTTCCACATTTTGGAAGTTTTGAGCTTTGGACTTTTTGATACATTTTTATGAGTATAAAATGGGCATTTGAAAAAACATAAGAATTTGAAATATACCAATTACATTTGTTATACTTGTTCAGATATATGTTACATTTATTTATTATTCATCCACTTGATTAATTTAATTTTAATCCCATGATTTTATTTTAGTTAATGTCTTCTAATATCTAATTTCTGCTTTTTTTAATATTGCTGCTGTGTAATTTGGTGCATGGATTTTCAAAATTCTTATAGCCTCACTATGAATGGCATACTTTATCATTTTAAATACCCTTCTCTGTTTGGTTTAGTATTTTCTTTAACTTGAATTTAATATTTTCTAATAGGAATGAAGAGGGAGAGACAGAAACTTGAATATGAGAGAGAGGCATAGATTGGTTGCCTCCCACATGTGCCCCAACCAGGCCTGGGATCGAGACTGCTACTGAGGTACATGTTCTTGACCAGAATCGAACCTGGGACCTTTCAGTCAGCAGACCAATGCTCTATCCACTGACCAAACCAGTTAGGTATGATTTATACATGCTAAAGTGAATCTTTAAAATGTGTACTTGGATCAGTCTGGACATATGCACACACCCATGAACACTCTGTGCCCTCCTGCTCTCCCGCACTCTGCCCTGGGAATCTTTCTGCTGTGATCTCTCTGGACTCTCAGCTTCTTCTCTTCATCCCAGGGAACTTCCAGGATCTGACTGGATTCCTTCCTCAGGCCACAGCCTGGAAACCCTTTCAAGAGAGTAAACCAGGTCACATGCAGGACTCACCTCACTGGCTTCCTGTCTTTCAGGGGTCGCTGCCCTTCATTTCCAGATAGCTGGTGCTCTGAAAACCACTGTTTGATATACTGTCGGGTCTTTTTGGTTGTTTCAGGTGGGAGAGTAAATCCAGGCCTCTTATCCATCTTGGCTGAAATCAGAAGTTAAGCTCGTTACCTTTTACTCTCCATTCATTTATTTATTTTAATGTATTTATATTACTCACTGTATAAATGGGTTATTTTTTGTCTAGTTTTCCTGCTATTTGGGGTGGTTTGTATTTCTGCCCTAGCTGTTACCATTTCGATTATATCTCTGTATTACACCTTTAGTTTGCCCTACTTTTTGGAAAGTATCAATTAGTTAATTACTCTAAGCAATGACATCATTAGTATGCTTGTCATCTTTTTCTTCCTTTTCTCAAGAAACCAATTTCAGTCAATAAAAATCAACAAGCAAACATCTATGCAGTATATACTACACACCAGATACTATGCTAGCTGCCTTACATTTTATATTTCATTTAATCTTTACAATGAATCTGTGGCAAATACATCGCTCATATTAGAGATGATGGAGGGAGCCCCCCCAAGAAGTTACGATAACCTGTCACCCAGAACACGTGGCAGTGGTAGAATTAAGTCCAAAATACTCTTATGCCAAGTTCAGAGCTCTTACCACTACTCTACAGTTACCTTTACTATCCTGAACTCTGTCCTCCTAATGCAGGCACACGCGCGCACGTGCGCGCGTGCACACACACACACATACACACACACACACGCTCACTCACTTTATTCTGAGAACAAACTTGGCCTTACAGCTCAGTATATAGACAGGATACACCTGGACGAATATAATTTGCCTGTTTTTCCAAATTCTAGGTTCAGAGTCTGGCTTGCAGACAAGGTACAGATGGAAATCTTCCTGGACTGAGGCCAAGAAGAGGAGAAAGGGTGGAAAGGCTTGCCCCATGGCCTGCAGTAGCGCTGAGTAGCCCAACTTGGACTAATACTTGCAGAGCAGCTGGAGAAATCATGCCACTGATGCCACTAGCCTGTCCAGCACATGACAAAGTTCTTCGGCACCCATGCTCACTTGAACTTTTCACAGCAGTATTATAGCTGACAAAGTGGCGGCTCAGAGACATGAATGTCTTATCAAAGGTCACACAGCTAACTAGTGATAGGGCCTAGACAACAATCCCAGATCTCCTAACCACTTTTCCAGGGCTTTTCTCGTGATCTGTTTCTGACTACATGGGTGGCATTCACCCTTTCATAGTTCTGACTGTACCCCATTGACGTGTGAGAAGAGAATCAATATGCCCATGTCCTTAGCACTGTACTTTGAGCTACAACAGATAAAAAAAACAAACAAACAAAAAACATAAAATGTGTCCTTCTCAATACTCATTCATTTAGTTACTTATTCATTCATTCATTCAAAGTGTTCACTAAGTGTCAGGCCCTGTTAGGAGCTGGGAAATACTCCTCAATGGGCTCACTGTGTAATGGAGACAGATTCAAAAGTCAACTTCTCCAATTCAGTGGAAAAAGCTAAGAGTATTTGGGGTGTGACTTCACTCTGTCTGTGGGATCCAGAAAGGCATACCTGAAAGGAGCTGAGTTAGAAGGGTCCAAAAGAGCTGAAGGAGTCAGATTTGACACTGACCGAGGCAGAAGTGAGCATGTTGCCCTCAGAGGACCAAAAAGATGTTCATGAAAGGGCTGGGAGCAAATCTGAGAGCTAGGAGTGCAGACTTTCTCCTGTAGTTTATGAACACAAGTACAAAAGCAGTAATGTGATCAGGCTTGATTAAAAAGATCACTGTGGCACAGTGGGAAGAATGGACTAGCAGGGAGTGGGACCAATGAAGGATTGGTCCACGTGAGAGCCTACACTGGGAGTAGAAGGGGGATGGGAGGATTGCTCTGGCTACCCCCTACCCACATTTTAGGGCTCAGTCTGGTTAGAAGCTCCTCCTCTGGCACCCTGAAACCTTGCCATCATGCCCTCAGGCAGAGAAGAGTTCATGGAAGATTAATAGCAATGGTTTTGAAGGCGACTTTCAAAGCCGTTGCATTCTCTCTCCACTGCTAACTAGCTGTGTGACCTTGGACATGGAGTTTAATCGCTGTTGCTTCAGTTTCCTCACCTATCAACTAAAAAATATAATAGTACCTATCTCTTAGGGTTATTGGCATGATTTAAAAAAATGAATGCATATAAAGCTCTTGGAATAGTGCCTAGCAATAATTAAGTGTACAATAGGCGTGGGTTTTTATTATCATTACACACATTCACTGTGTTTATGGGCGTACCTGACCATCAGGTATACTCCTTGGGGGCAGGTCTCCTTGTGCCCAGCAGACAGCATGAGACAGAGAAGGTTATCAATAAATAACTGTTGGAGATGATAGAGATGATGGTTAATGAGAATAAAATAATTCTCACATTCTGAACTGGAACAGGAAGATGGTGGTGATGTCAGGGCTGAGACAGGGAGCTTGAGAGAAGGAGCTGGTTCAGAGAGGTAGGTTGCTAATCTGCCCAAGATCAAATCTATAGGATCTAGAGAAGCTGAGGTTTGAACCGAGGTCTGTTCATACTCCATAAACAGCTTATGAAATCTGAATGTCTATGCTCAGATTTGATATATATATATATATATCAAATGAGTTGGTGAATACTTGAATGAATGGATTTCTTTGGTATCAAGGTTGCTTCTATGTTCATTGGTAAATAGATGTCTGTGGAAGTGGGGAGGGGGGTAAAAAAAGAGAAAAGAAAATAACCATGAAAAATTATAAAAGAAAGAACTATTAACAGATATTTCAAGTGAATGAACATGAGGACCTAGCTTCCTTCTTTTTGCCTTTTTCTGACCTATCAGTACTTTTATATATGACCTCCAGCTTTATAATCATTATAATGGACTCTTGCAAACTAGTACGAAGGATGACTAAAACTACCCAGCAGGAAGTTTTGCAAAGCCCAAGCAAAACAAACAAACAAACAAAACAAAAAAAACAGTATCAAAAAATTTAGGGACATAGGAAAATGTCTGATACCAGAGGAACCAGTTACACGGGCCCTTCTACACACAATTCCGATTTCAACACCACCTCTGCAGAGGCAGATTTCTTAGGTCAAGCTGCTTGTGGGACTAGCATCCAAGTATTAGGGCAGAAAGATCTGCCTGCATAGATTCTATTTGAAATTGATAAGCTCTCCTTCAGTGCAAGTCTCGGTAGTAGAGTAATAAAAATAATAATGGTAATACATAATTTAAGGACATTTTATAATATATAATGTTAAATGTCAATACAATTTAATAATGCCTATAATTTATTGAATGTTTACTGATTCCAGAAACTGGTGAGTATTAGGAAATGCTATTTCTTTTAAACCTCACCAAACCCTACAAGAAAAATACTGTTATTCCCATTTTAAAGATAAGCAAACTAAGCCTCAGAGAGGTTAAGTAACCTAACCAATGTCACTCAGCAAATAAGTGGGAAATCAGGATCTGAACCCCAGTTTGCCTAACTTCAAAGCCCATTGCTGCAAACACTAATTTATGTACAATTTTTCTCCTTGACTCCTTTGAATTTGGGGCTGTATAGATTAACTTCATCCACATAAGCCTACTTGAGGCATAGAGTTCATATTTGAACACCAGGTCTGATAAGGTAAGAGCGTGCCTGCTCCAGAGCTCTTTGTCAGTCCAAAAAATTGGAGGGTTTATGTGCAAGGATCAAGAGACATGGATTCAGAGAATGAGGTCCAAATGAACTCGGCCTCTTACTAGCTATGAGACTTCTGTTCGATCATTTAAATTCTTTGGGCCTCTGTTAGTTTCTTAGATTTCATGTGCCGTCCCCCATCCCCCCAAAATAAAAGGGTTTATTTAAATGATCTCTCAAGGCCTTAGGAAATGATTTTTTTTTGTTTCAGCATTTGTATCTTTTCTAATTAATATATCATACTTACTAAAGAAAAAAAGATACTTGTTCAAAAAAAAGTAATACATAATTTTTAAGGAAGAATACAGGAGAGTAGAAAGAAAAGTTCTGATTCTATTTAGTGCAAAGGAAGTCTCTATTCAAATTTAAAGGATAGTCAAAGAGGCTTGTACAGCCTTAACATTTCATAACAATCAAAAATCATGTTTGGGCACTTCTTATCATTTTTCTAAACATCACTTCCCTTTCTAAGGCTTACATATCATATTTACATTTCAGTGTTCAGGTATAAAGACTTAAGTTAAATAAAGTTATGAAGCCTTTATTTATTTTTTGATGACTGCAAATAAAATAAAGCAAAACAAAAACCCCTTGGGGAACATTTTTTCCAAAATAATTCACTCCACCACCTCTTGCTAAGCACCTACTATGAGCAGGGCTTGTGCAAGGAGGAACCCTGAATGCAGTGTGGTCCTCAGTGAGAAAGCCCAATGCCTAGAAGGAAAAAAGCGACCAAAGAGAAGTACCCATTGCCATGAGAGTATAGGCGGAGCTATTTATTCTGAGGAGAGGACAGAGGCTGGATCAGGAAAAGTGGACTGGCGTCCAATAGATGGCAAAGACTTAGAAAAGTCACCACCTAGACAAGCTCTTGTTTGGTTGTTCAGTGCTAGAGTGACATATAATTTATCTTCCACACTGGGATTCTTGATAATGAAAGGGGAAGTACTGATAATTATGTTAAGACATTGGGTGAAAACCAAAACTTGAAACCTGTGATGGAACGGCATGTTAAAATGCCCCAGGGAAGGCTTCCGCACCCTGGCTAACTTCCTGAACAAGTTGTAGAGGTTTCCCTAACAGTCCTGTAGTTGGACTCAAGCATAACATCAACACAGCAAACAAACTGTCTGAACTAAGGAGCACATTCTGTATCATTCTTAAATTAGTTTTGTAGTTACGCCACATTTTCAGAACTACATCGATAGTCAGCCCTAGGAGTTTTGTGTGAGTTTTTTTTTCACAATGCTTTGTGGACCCGCTCAATGCCCTAACTCTCAATATTTCCATTTGATGTTCCTTGGTTTATTGTGTGATTAGTTGCAAATCCAGAGGCAGCAAAGATTCTCTCTTTGCCAGGACTATTCCGAAGGGTCTCAGAAGTGGAAGAGGAAATCCAACA